TAATTTTTTGGTTTCTATATATTTGCTTGGAAGCTCTGGTAGCACAGTGCCTAAGACACTTGACTTCTAACTAGGAGGCTGGAGGTTCAAATCCACCAGCCACTCCTCGGAAGGAAGGTTGGATAATCTACTTCTGTAGTGATACTGCCTTGGGAACCCAAGGAGGGGTCGCTATGAGTTGAATCCAACTGGACAGAACATAAAAACAATATATTTGCTTATTTCTTTTGTGGGAGACCATAGCATAAAAAAGCTCTCACTGCTGTCCAGTTGGATGCAACTCATGGTGACCCCTCCTTGGATTCCTGAGGTGGTATCACTATGGAAGTAGATTGTCCAACCTTCCTTCAGAGGAGTGGTTGGTGGGCTTGAACTGGTTAGCAGTCAAATGCCTTAGGCACTATGCCACCAGAGCTCCTAGGTCATACAGTATTTATCTGCAATTTTTTTTTAACAGACATTTTGGATTCACAAATCAGAGTTGTGTTGAATTTAATGAAATCTTTTCCTTGAATCCCTTTAGAAAATTATATATATGTTTTATCTTTTATGCTGCTAATACAGTGAATTAAGTTGATTGATTTTCAGTGTTCAGTTAACTTTACATTCCTGGAAAAAACGACAAAAAAAATTGTTCATGAGATTATCTATCTCAGTTGACTAATAATAGATACTTAAATCTGTTTTCATAAGATTTATCTTTAATTTTTGTTTGTTGGTATTTCCTTGCCATATTTTGGTATGAATTTCTGATAGCTTCATGAAAAGAAATCAGAATATGTAATATTAAGTCTATCTTCTTTAAGAGTTTGTTAGATTTGAAATGATGAAGTCATCTATTTCTAGAATTTTCTTTATGATATATTTTTAAATTATGATTATGATTACTTTATTAGCTATGTTGTTGTTGCTATGTGCTGTAAAGTCAGCCCCGACACATAGCGACCCCTCCTTGGTTTGCCGAGACAGTATCACTACGGAAGTAGATTGCCCAACCTTCCTTCCAAG